AGAGAGAGACCAGAGAGAGACCAGAGAGAGACCAGAGAGAGACCAGAGAGAGAGACCAGAGAGAGACCAGAGAGAGACCAGAGAGAGAGACCAGAGAGAGAGACCAGAGAGAGACCAGAGAGAGACCAGAGAGAGAGACCAAGAGAGAGACCAGAGAGAGACAAGAGAGAGACCAGAGAGAGACAGAGAGAGAGACCAGAGAGAGACCAGAGAGAGACCAGAGAGAGAGACCAGAGAGAGACCAGAGAGGAGAGACCAGAGAGAGACCAGAGGAGAGACCAGAGACCAGAGAGAGACAAGAGAGAGACCAGAGAGAGACCAGAGAGAGACCAGAGAGAGACACCAGAGAGAGACCAGAGAGAGACCAGAGAGAGACCAGAGAGAGAGACCAGAGAGAGACCAGAGAGAGAGACCAGAGAGAGACCAGAGAGAGACCAGAGAGAGACCAGAGAGAGACCAGAGAGAGACCAGAGAGAGAGACCAGAGAGAGAGACCAGAGAGAGAGACCAGAGAGAGACCAGAGAGAGAGACCAGAGAGAGACCAGAGAGAGACCAGAGAGAGACCAGAGAGAGACCAGAGAGAGACCAGAGAGAGACCAGAGAGAGAGACCAGAGAGAGACCAGAGAGAGAGACCAGAGAGAGACCAGAGAGAGAGACCAGAGAGAGACCAGAGAGAGACCAGAGAGAGAGACCAGAGAGAGACCAGAGAGAGAGAGACCAGAGAGAGACCAGAGAGAGACCAGAGAGAGAGACCAGAGAGAGACAAGAGAGAGACCAGAGAGAGAACCAGAGAGAGACCAGAGAGAGACCAGAGAGAGACCAGAGAGAGACCAGAGAGAGACAAGAGAGAGACCAGAGAGAGACCAGAGAGAGACCAGAGAGAGACAAGAGAGAGACCAGAGACCAAGAGAGACCAGAGAGAGACCAGAGAGAGACCAGAGAGAGACCAGAGAGAGACCAGAGAGAGACCAGAGAGAGACCAGAGAGAGAACCAGAGAGAGACCAGAGAGAGACCAGAGAGAGACCAGAGAGAGAACCAGAGAGAGACCAGAGAGAGACCAGAGAGAGACCAGAGAGAGACCAGAGAGAGACCAGAGAGGGACCAGAGAGAAACCAAGTTACCAAGAGAAGGTGGATCACTCTGTCACTGAAGCTCCTCTCCAGAGCAGACAGAGTGTCCTGCAGGGGGCGACAGTCACGGTCCAGCATAGATGTTAGTTTGTCCAATGTATAATGGCTTTAATATTTACAAAATCCAAATGTTCTTTTAGTTTGGGGTTTTTACAAGCTGTGAATCCATCATCAACAATATGACAATGACTTGATATGTCGCTCTCAGTGTGTAATGATTATATTAAAAGTTGAATTACAGTAGAATATGTTGAACTTTTGAGTTTCTCCCGTGTCTATTTCTATTCAGGACCTCATTTTATCACTACTATTCTTAGCTTTTTAGAACAATCGGTGCATTTTGTTTGTAGAGATTCCACAGTTTTTGTTCTAAGTGGAAGCCAATAGTGCTGCTGCCCACACTCCCAACACATCTGGACCACATCTGGATCCCATCAGCGTCCCCGGAGCTTCTGAAACCACCATGGGAACATACTATTTTTAAAAGCACAGTTGAATAATGGCTGCTTCAGGGTCACGCTCCCCTTTTTGACAAAGGGTGACATAGATAATTGTAAACACCAGAGTTGGATGATTTCACACGCACCAGAAATGTGTGAGAATCTGTGATATAAAAGTTACACCAACTCTTGGATTAACGATATAAGAAGAAATTGAGAAGTAAATGAACTGCTTGGTTTCGCTCGCAGACGGAGATCGGATGAAAATGAGTGTGAGAGGCCCTTATGGGAAAATAAACTCAGATCTATGGTTTTACTGCAGGCTGTAAAAGCAAAAATAGTTTCAGAAGAACCACATTTAGCATCTAACATGACAAGCTAACAAGCTAACATCCATGCTAGGCCGTGACTATAAGTTTTTGTACTGATTATGCTAACCTGCTAATTATGCAAGTCTTTTCTCCCCGCTGCTGTCAGAGTGTACAATGAACAAATAGGATAATATAAGCAACATGGGACCACATGTGTCCACTGTCAGTTTACTGCTAGCAAGCATGTAGCAGTGTGACATGCTAATCTTGCATTAGAGTGTATTACAGATGTATTCACCGACGTATCTATCTGTCTATCTGTCTGTTTCTCTGTCTGGCTCACTGTCTGTCTGTCTTTCTGTCTGTCTCTCTCTTTGTCTGTCTATCTGTCTGTCCCTCTCCCTGTCTGTCTGTCTCTCTTCCTGTCTGTCTGTATGTCCGTCTCTCTGTCTGTCTGTGTCTTTCTCTCTGTCTGTCTCTCTTGGTCTGTCTGTCTGTCTCTCTTCCTGTCTGTCTCTGTCTGTCTGTCTCTCTCTGTCTGTCTCTCTCTCTGTCTGTCTGTCTGTCTGTCTGTCTGTCTCTCTGTCTGTCTCTCTTCCTGTCTGTCTCTGTCTGTCTGTCTCTCTCTGTCTGTCTCTCTCTCTGTCTGTCTCTCTGTCTGTCTGTCTGTCTGTCTGTCTGTCTGTCGGTCTCTCTGTCTGTCTCTCTTCCTGTCTGTCTCTCTCTGTCTCTCTCTGTCTGTCTCTCTCTCTGTCTGTCTGTCTGTCTGTCTGTCTCTCTGTCTCTCTCTTTGTCTGTCTGTCTGTCTGTCTCTCTGTCTCTCTCTTTGTCTGTATGTCTGTCTCTCTCTCTGTCTGTCTGTCTGTCCGTCTCTCTGTCCGTCTGTGTCTGTCTCTCTGTCTGTCTCTCTGTCTGTCTCTCTCTGTCTGTCTCTCTGTCTGTCTGTGTCTGTCTCTCTTCCTGTCTGTCTATCTGTCTGTCTCTCTCTGTCTGTCTCTGTCTGTCTGTCTCTCTGTCTGTCTGTCTCTCTCTGTCTGTATGCCCACCCACCTCCCTATCAATCTCTGTATTTAGTTCATACATACATTTAAATAGTTTAATCTACTGTGGGACCTTAAAGCCAAAGATAAAGACGTCATGTTATTATTCTGATCTAATCCACATTATTATGTATTTAATGTATTTAACATATTTAATGTATATCATGTATTTAATGTATATAATGTATATAATGTATTTAACATATTTAATGTATTTAATGTATATAATGTATTTAACATATTTAATGTATTTAATGTATATAATGTATTTAATGTATATATGTATAATGTATGTAGCAACATTCACAAACACAGTCTCCAAAAGCACAAAGTCCTGAAGAACAGAGCTGTGCTGGTCTGTCTGTGTCTCCTGTTCCCTGCACAGACCAAACAGCAGCATCCAGACACTTAAAACAAGTTCATTAAACCAACGCCAAAACCTGAGCACGTTTTCCCCGTTTTCCGTTTATACTTTGCAAAATATTCTGGTGCTGAAAATGTCAAATGTATTATTTCCACATCATCAAAGCACAAAGAAAAACAACAAATATCCATTTCAAAGCTGTTGTTTGTGTCTGTGCTGGCAGCTCCTTTTGGCAAAATCTCCATTCACTTCTTTCTTCAGTAATTTTAAGATATTTTTATTGGCAGAAACTTGAGACTTCCCACAAAAAACTGCGACTTTGTTAAAATATGAATAATTTGCTGAATGTGTGGTGAGTCACATATGTCTTGTTGAGAATAACATTTAGTCTATTGTCTTTGGTAATTTTGTATCTTTTTGTGGCCATACCTGCAGGTGAGATCCCGTCAGACCTCTGAAGCTAAGCAGGGCAGAGTCTGGTTAGTACTGTGATGGGAGACCTGTGGGAACGCCAGGTGTCACACTGGGACGGCTGTGGCTCTAGTGCAAAACTGTTGCTATGTCCTTGGGCAAGACACTTCACCCACATTAGAACGAGTCTGATGTGTGTGTGTGTGTGAATGGTTGGTGGTGGTCAGAGGTGGCACAGACTGGTTGCCTCACTTCTGTCAGTGTGCCCCAGGGCAGCTGTGGCTACAGAAGTAGTTTATCACCACCGTGTATGGAGTGAAAGAATACTGACATCTGAAGGGTAAACTTGGAAGGACAGTGATCCTCCAAAAAAGAGCTCTGTCACTCTGTAATTGTCAATATAATAAACATCCTTTATTGTTTCACGCGGGACGAGGCGGACATCAGTGTTTTAACGGTTTATTGCATACAAAAAATATTCATAACAATTTGTGTGCATTAAATCAAGCTATACTGCAATGACCAAACTCAAGTGTCCTTCTGCACCCACACACACTCATACTGCATTAACCATGAATAACTTTGGCTTTATCCCACTTAGAAAGCATTGGAAGTGCAATTTAAAACATACTTCTGCTCCGGCAGAGCCAAGTGGAAATCAAACCACTTTTTTCATATTATGTCCCGTAGTTTAATAAAAAAAAGTCCTTGAAATACAAAAACGCCAGCTTTCCCAGTGTCTAGTAGTAATGCACTCGGCCGATAGTTCCAGTCCCGGTGCCGAGGATGTCTGGTTGTCCGTTCCTCCATATTTCTCGGATGATCCTCTCTCTCTCCTCCAGCCGCTGGGCCCTCTCCAGCTCCTCCGCCGAAGTGAAAACGTTTACACTGGTGTCAGAGTGACCGGTGTGGTTTCCGTTGGGGATTTCTGTGGTTGGTAAAGTGATGGGCGTGGCTTCTGCGTCCGCCGCCTCCTCCTCGTCCTCTCCGCTCTCGTCGTCCTCCTCGCTGATGTCCTTTAACTGTTTTTTGTCAGGGGTGGAGGAGGCGGAGGAGGAGGGGGAGGCGGCCCGGCGAGGTTTGCAGGAGATGCGGATGACGAGGAGGCAGAGGGTCAGAACCAGGCCGAAGCACGCACCCAGGACAAAGTACAGGCCGAAGCTCTCTGGGTTTGCTAAAGGACGACACAAGGAAATCATGTGTGTTAGAAAATGGACAAGCTGCTTCACCTTTCTTTAGATCAGCTGTAGCCTGGTCTTACCATGTGTAAACTCTGGTCCATGGTCATTTCCTACATGTACGTCTGGTCTTACCATGTGTAAACTCTGGTCCATGATCATTTCCTACATGTACGTCTGGTCTTACCATGTGTAAACTCTGGTCCATGATCATTTCCTACATGTACGTCTGGTCTTACCATGTGTAAACTCTGGTCCATGATCATTTCCTACATGTACGTCTGGTCTTACCATGTGTAAACTCTGGTCCATGGTCATTTCCTACATGTACGTCTGGTCTTACCATGTGTAAACTCTGGTCCATGATCATTTCCTACATGTACGTCTGGTCTTACCATGTGTAAACTCTGGTCCATGATCATTTCCTACATGTACGTCTGGTCTTACCATGTGTAAACTCTGGTCCATGATCATTTCCTACATGTACGTCTGGTCTTACCATGTGTAAACTCTGGTCCATGATCATTTCCTACATGTACGTCTGGTCTTACCATGTGTAAACTCTGGTCCATGGTCATTTCCTACATGTACGTCTGGTCTTACCATGTGTAAACTCTGGTCCATGATCATTTCCTACATGTACGTCTGGTCTTACCATGTGTAAACTCTGGTCCATGATCATTTCCTACATGTACGTCTGGTCTTACCATGTGTAAACTCTGGTCCATGATCATTTCCTACATGTACGTCTGGTCTTACCATGTGTAAACTCTGGTTCATGATCATTTCCTACATGTACGTCTGGTCTTACCATGTGTAAACTCTGGTCCATGATCTACATGTACGTCTGGTCTTACCATGTGTAAACTCTGGTCCATGATCATTTCCTACATGTACGTCTGGTCTTACCATGTGTAAACTCTGGTCCATGATAATTTCCTACATGTACGTCTGGTCTTACCATGTGTAAACTCTGGTCCATGGTCATTTCCTACATGTACGTCTGGTCTTACCATGTGTAAACTCTGGTCCATGGTCATTTCCTACATGTACGTCTGGTCTTACCATGTGTAAACTCTGGTCCATGATCATTTCCTACATGTACGTCTGGTCTTACCATGTGTAAACTCTGGTCCATGGTCATTTCCTACATGTACGTCTGGTCTTACCATGTGTAAACTCTGGTCCATGATCATTTCCTACATGTACGTCTGGTCTTACCATGTGTAAACTCTGGTCCATGATAATTTCCTACATGTACGTCTGGTCTTACCATGTGTAAACTCTGGTCCATGATCATTTCCTACATGTACGTCTGGTCTTACCATGTGTAAACTCTGGTCCATGGTCATTTCCTACATGTACGTCTGGTCTTACCATGTGTAAACTCTGGTCCATGATCATTTCCTACATGTACGTCTGGTCTTACCATGTGTAAACTCTGGTCCATGATCTACATGTACGTGTGGTCTTACCATGTGTGAACTCTGGTCCATGATCATCTCCTACATGTACGTCTGGTCTTACCATGTGTAAACTCTGGTCCATGATCATTTCCTACATGTACGTCTGGTCTTACCATGTGTAAACTCTGGTCCATGGTCATTTCCTACATGTACGTCTGGTCTTACCATGTGTAAACTCTGGTCCATGATCATCTCCTACATGTACGTCTGGTCTTACCATGTGTAAACCCTGGTCCATGGTCATTTCCTACATGTACGTCTGGTCTTACCATGTGTAAACTCTGGTCCATGGTCATTTCCTACATGTACGTCTGGTCTTACCATGTGTAAACTCTGGTCCATGGTCATTTCCTACATGTACGTCTGGTCTTACCATGTGTAAACTCTGGTCCATGATCATTTCCTACATGTACGTCTGGTCTTACCATGTGTAAACTCTGGTCCATGATCATCTCCAACATGTACGTCTGGTCTTACCATGTGTAAACTCTGGTCCATGATCATCTCCTACATGTACGTCTGGGTCTGATCCTAGTGGCTGCAGTTTCTTCGGTTGAATCCCCTCCGACCAATCAGAGAGCGGGGGAGGCGGGTGTTGTAGGTCGGTGTCGGTGACGTCAAGAGTTTTGCGGCTAAGAGATAGTATATTAATCTGTTCTGGTTCAATCAAGAAATTGAAGCCGGAGCAAGAGGAATGTTTAGTAAATGTCATTGCTGCAAAGATGTTGTGGCTCTACACCCCACGGGCTCTGCTAGCGGCAAAGGAGATGGCTAAAGCTAGGCTAAATGCTAAATGCTAACGACTCACTCGGGCTCATTACATACGGCACGGTAAACTCAGGTCAAATCGTTTCAATCTGCAAAAGGAGTTAACCCCTCCCACCTGTTGACGGAGTCAATGGAGCACATCCAGAGCTTAGTACAAAGATTATGATGGTATGGAAAGGCCAGGCTAGGTAAGGTGAGTTTTGTCCAAATTGATTCTGTCCAGACTTAGCCTTGGTTCAGTCCAGGTAAGTTTGTAGGCACATTCACATTCTTTGGGCTTCTTTACTTTTAAAAACATTTCTCAGAATTCCGTTAAAACGTACCTTTGATGTGTGCATATGCAGCGATGCTGTTGCTCAGAAGGTCCATCTCCTTCTTTTTCACATCCATCTTGATCTGATTTTAGCACCACCTGAAGAACACAACACAGGCTTTGAAAGAGATATATTATGGAAAAAGTAAGTAAGTATGTACAGTATGATAATGCATCAGTATTTTGGACGCTTCACAAAGACGCCACAGCTGCCCTGGGGCACACTGACAGAAGCGAGGCAACCACCCAATGTGGGTGAAGCGTGTGTGTGTGTGTGCGTGTGTGCGTGCGTGTGTGTGTGTGTACAATATGTAAGGGTGTGTGTGAATGTATGTTTGTGTGTGTGCGTGTATATATGTGTTTATGTGTGTGTGTGTGTGTGTGTGTGTATGTGTGTGTGTATGTGTATGTATGTTTGTGTATGTGTTCGTGTATGTATGTATGGATATATGTGTACAATATGTAAGTGTGTGTGTGTATATATATATATATGTGTGTACATATAAATAAACATGACTTACTATACATGTTCACCAGATGTAATTTATTGTGTATAATTCATAGTTTTCACTGAAACTGAAAACTTTCACACAAAAACAAAATAAAAATAATAATAATAATTTAAATGTCTTTAGATAACTATGAGGAGCAAAGAACGGCCCTGTTTGGGGTCCTCTCAGCACCCCCCCACTCCCCCCCACAGTTCCTACAGTATCACATTGTGTACAGTACGTGGTCATTAATCGTCCTCCTGCAGGTGGGTGGGATGTGGCCGACCCCAGGACCTGACAAAGACCCTCTGTGAGACCCTCTGTGAGACCCTCTGTGAGACCCTCTGTGAGACCCTCTGTGAGACCCTCTGGGAGCATCATAACAAGTCTGGCACATGGCGCTGCTTCTCCACCGTGACGCCCGCCATTAAAAAGGTCAACTGCATTTTCCCAAGTCTCCTCATGGGGTCTTCCTCCGCACAGATGGAAACGACAGGTCCATTCGAGACGCTTGTTGGACTTGACTTATGGACGCAATATGAGAAGAACAGATTTCTCTTCCAATTAGACGGATACGGGTTTGTTTTGTAAAATGTGTGTTTTTGATTTAACGATAGGATTTCTTTCAGATTCGTAACTTTATACTTTCTGGCAAGGCATGGGAAGTTTATTTTGTATAGCACAGAAACTCAAAGGGCTTAACAAAACAAGAAAAGAAACATTAAAATCATAAATAATCACAGAACATTAAAAAGAGTGAAGACACAATCCCTGCAAAGATAAACGAAAGGGTTTCTCGCCTAAATATTATCAGAGAAGAAGCAGAGAAAGACCAGAGAGAGACCAGCGAGAGAGACCAGAGAGAGACCAGAGAGAGACCAGAGAGAGACCAGAGAGAGACCAGAGAGAAGCCAGAGAGAGACCAGAGAGAAACCAGAGAGAGACCAGAGAGAAACCAGAGAGAGACCAAAGAGAGAAAAGAGAGGCCAGAGAGAGAGACCAGAGACCAGGAAGCTAGACCAGAGAGAGAGACCAGAGAGAGACCAGAGAGAGACCAAAGAGACCAGAGAGAGACCAGAGAGAGACCAAAGAGAGAGACCAGAGGCCAGAGAGAGAGACCAGAGAGAGACCAGAGAGAGAGACCAGAGAGAGACCAGAGAGAGACCAGAGAGAGACCAGAGAGAGAGACCAGAGAGAGACCAGAGAGAGACCAGAGAGAGACCAGAGAGAGGCCAGAGAGAGAGACCAGAGAGAGACCAGAGAAAAACCAGAGAGAGGCCAGAGAGAGGCCAGAGAGAGACCAGAGAGAGACCAGCGAGAGAGACCAGAGAGAGACCAGAGAGAGACCAGAGAGAAACCAGAGAGATACCAGAGAGAGACCAGAGAGAGAGACCAGAGAGAGACCAGAGAGAGGCCAGAGAGAGAGACCAGAGAGAGACCAGAGGCCAGAGAGAGAGACCAGAGAGAGAGACCAGAGAGAGGCCAGAGAGAGACCAGAGGCCAGAAAGAGAGACCAGAGAGAGAGACCAGAGAGAGACCAGAGAAAAACCAGAGAGAGGCCAGAGAGAGGCCAGAGAGAGACCAGAGAGAGACCAGAGAGAGACCAGCGAGAGAGACCAGAGAGAGACCAGAGAGAAACCAGAGAGATACCAGAGAGAGACCAGAGAGAGAGACCAGAGAGAGACCAGAGAGAAACCAGAGAGATACCAGAGAGAGGCCAGAGAGAGAGACCAGAGAGAGAGACCAGAGAGAGGCCAGAGAGAGACCAGAGGCCAGAGAGAGAGACCAGAGAGAGACCAGAGAGAGGCCAGAGAGAGACCAGAGAGAGGCCAGAGAGAGACCAGAGAGAGACCAGAGAGAGAGAGACCAGAGAGAGAGACCAGAGAGAGAGGTGCTAAACTCTGAAAGAGGACTGTGATCTTTCTGTTTTGGATTTTCTTTATGAATCCAGACTTTTAAACCGAGCTCTTACAATAATCAATGACTCTTCTGGCCCCTGGAAAAGCCCTGTTCCAGCTTCTTCCCTCTGGCAGAAGATATTGTTTGCTAAGACGCAGGACATCACTTTAAATGATCTTGAACTTATTTGAACTGTTTTAGTTTGATCTATGTCACTTTGTTGTTTTCATGTATCTGTCTTATGCACACTGGTGACTTTTGCACATGTTATTCCAACATGGTTTTACTGCAAATGGCACACAAAACACATCTAAATCTGAATTTGTTTGTTTTATTTTTTCATCTTCACTTGTAAATCTTGGTGTATGACGTCGCCACAGCCCAGTCACCTTAACACCAGTTTTCGGGAAAGTTCAATCCCAAAACCGCACACATGTATCCCATATGCCCCGTGGTTAGGGTCATAAACACGAGAAGGCAGCCCCGAACTCCTAATAAAATCTGTAATAAACAACACAACGCCAGAGGAGGCGACAGAACAGAGCCGGAGAGAAACTTACCACAAAATGAAAGTCTTTAGTCCTGGGTCATTTTTCTGGTTTTTTCAGTTTTTTTTGGGATTGAATTGCGTGGACTTCTGTGTGTTCGGTGGATGTCAAGGCTGGGGGCGGTTGGTCCCGTGGTTCATTTGCCCCGACCTGCGACAAGAGCAAACATGCGTCATCAGGCTGAAGTTTTGGACCCGTCTGAGCAACAAAGCAAACAGTTAAAGATACAGTTTTTTACAAACGCATTTTTTTTTTTATATTGTGGGGAATTTTTTTTTATATTGTGGGGAAAAGCCCTAAACCCTAAAAGTATCAAGTTATCATCTGTTTTCAAATAGTCATGGAATTGACCAGATGTCTATAGTCTCAAAAAATTAATACAAAATATTTTGGAGCGGACCGATAAGAATAATGGGATTCGTTCATCTCCAACGAACCAATGGGATGTGTTTACCCTTGGTTTGGTGGAGAGGGGAGGGGAGGGGGGAGTGGTTTGGTGGAGAGGTGAGGGGAGGGGGGAGTGGTTTGGTGGAGAGGGAGGGGAGGGGGGAGTGGTTTGGTGAAGAGGGAGGGGAGGGGGGAGTGGTTTGGTGGAGAGGGAGGGGAGGGGGGAGTGGTTTGGTGGAGAGGGAGGGGAGGGGGGAGTGGTTTGGTGGAGAGGGAGGGGAGGGGGAGTGGTTTGGTCGAGAGGGAGGGGAGGGGGGAGTGGTTTGGTGGAGAGGGAGGGGAGGGGGGAGTGGTTTGGTGGAGAGGGAGGGGAGGGGGGAGTGGTTATGGTGGAAAGGGAGGGGAGGGGGAGTGGTTTGGTGAAGAGGGGAGGGGGGAGTGGTTTGGTGAAAAGGGAGGGGGAGTGGTTTGGTGAAGAGGGGAGGGGGGAGTGGTTTGGTGAAAAGGGAGGGGGGAGTGGTTTGGTGGAGAGGGGAGGGGGGAGTGGTTTGGTGAAAAGGGAGGGGGGAGTGGTTTGGTGGAGAGGGGAGGGGGGAGTGGTTTGGTGAAAAGGGAGGGGGGAGTGGTTTGGTGGAGAGGGGAGGGGGGAGTGGTTTGGTGAAAAGGGAGGGGGGAGTGGTTTGGTGGAGAGGGGAGGGGGGAGTGGTTTGGTGAAGAGGGAGGGGGGAGTGGTTTGGTGGAGAGGGGAGGGGGAGTGGTTTGGTGAAAGGGAGGGGAGGGGGGAGTGGTTTGGTGGAGAGGGAGGGGGGGAGTGGTTTGGTGAAGAGGGGGGGGGGAGTGGTTTGGTGGAGAGGGGAGGGGGGAGTGGTTTGGTGAAGAGGGGGGGAGGGGGGAGTGGTTTGGTGAAGGGAGGGGGGAGTGGTTGGGAGGGGGGGGGGGTGGTTTGGTGAAAAGGGAGGGGGGAGTGGTTTGGTGGAGAGGGAGGGGGGGGTTTGGTGAGGGGGTTGGTGGAGAGGGGAGGGGGGAGTGGTTTGGTGAAGAGGGAGGGGAGGGGGGAGTGGTTTGGTGGAGAGGGAGGGGGGAGTGGTTTGGTGAAGAGGGAGGGGAGGGGGGAGTGGTTTGGTGGAGAGGGAGGGGAGGGGGGAGTGGTTATGGTGAAAAGGGAGGGGGGAGTGGTTTGGTGAAGAGGGGAGGGGGGAGTGGTTTGGTGAAAAGGGAGGGGGGAGTGGTTTGGTGAAGAGGGGAGGGGGGGTGGTTTGGTGAAAAGGGAGGGGGGAGTGGTTTGGTGGAGAGGGGGGGGGGAGTGGTTTGGTGAAAAGGGAGGGGGGAGTGGTTTGGTGGAGAGGGGAGGGGGGAGTGGTTTGGTGAAGAGGGAGGGGATGGGGGAGTGGTTTGGTGAAAGGGAGGGGGGGAGTGGTTTGGTGAAAAGGGAGGGGGGAGTGGTTTGGTGGAGAGGGGAGGGGGGAGTGGTTTGGTGGAGAGGGAGGGAGGGGGGAGTGGTTTGGTGAGAGGGGGGGGGAGGGGTTTGGTGGGGTTTGGTGGAGAGGGAGGGGAGGGGGGAGTGGTTTGGTGAGGGAGGGGTGGTTGGGAGGGGGGAGAGTGGTTTGGTGGAGAGGGAGGGGGGGGGGGGGGTTTGGTGGAGGAGGGGAGGGGGGGGGGGGGTGGTTTGGTGGAGAGGGGAGGGGAGGGGGGGTGGTTTGGTGGAGAGGGGGGGAGGGGGGTGTGGTTTGGTGGAGAGGGAGGGGAGGGGGG